GTTGTTTAAAACCATCGTTTATATTCATGATTCCATCAGCATTCAATAAATAAAGTTAATGATAGATGTCAAAAATGACAGCTCAGTCATGGAGAAAATTATCGGTAGATTCAAGATGCGACAGACCTATGTCCTACTTATTTCGGCCACTCCTCAAAATGCAGTACTTTCGCATCACTAAGACTGACATTGCTCAGAAATGCGCAGAAACGGAATGAAAATCATCAATGATTCAATGATTCTCGAATAAAATGGCGACGATGTGGTGTAACGTGATTCTTATTAAAATATCTTTTTACTTGTGTTTTTGTTGTCAGTAATTGAGTAATTCTGTACTTTTTATGAAGAAGTAGCGTAATAAAAAACCTCACAAAAACATTAGATTGTTAAATAAAAATCTGTTCTTTTAGGATTTTGGGTACTTTTTATAATACTAACAAGAACAATGGAGCTTACATTACGCTTATTTTCACAGTATCTTGGCTCTCAATTTGTTTAGTATTGATGCTAAGCATCGCCATTAAGCATTAGAATAACATTAGTGCTCCAGAAAGATCTGAAAGAAAGAACACAGTATAACACTCATATTTCATATTATATAATAGGTTTTTGGAAAAAGTCTTTTCGCATTATAGTATGTATGAACTTGTAATAAAATCTCTTTGGCTATACTATTTGTATCTAGCTGGTTTTGGTATAATTGAAAGTTTAAATTTTAAAGATAATTCCAAATTCAAATTAGGAAAATGTGTGATTTTTATTTATTTTTCGTAGTGTCAAGATGAGTGAAGCTAATGAAGAAATTCGATACATTTTAAAATTTTACAACAAAAAAGGTACAAATGCAACGCAAGCTGCGAAAAAAATTTGCGAAATTTATGGACCTAGTGCAGTGTCTGTGAGAGTAACACAAATTTGGCTTAAGCGTTTTCAATCCGGAAATTTTGATGTCAAAGATGCACGTCGCTCTGGTCACTCTATTACGGATAAAATGGATGCCATTTTTGAAAAAGTGGAGCAAGATTGGTATTTCAATAGTTACGACATAGCTGAAGAACTGGGAATTGACCACAAAACAGTTTTGGCGCATTTGAAAAAAACTGGATACACAAAAAAGCTCGATATTTGGGTACCTCACGAGCTCACTGAAAGAAATCTAATGAACCGTGTACTCATTTGTGATTTTTTATTACGACGTAATGAAACCGAACCATTTTTGAAGAAGCTGATAACTGCTGATGAAAAGTGGATCACATACGACAAGAACGTGCGAAAAAGGTCGTGGTTAAAGGTCGGTCAGGCTTCACAGACTGTGGCGAAACCCAGGTTAACACGCAACAAGGTGATGCTGTGTGTTTGGTGGGATTGGAAGGGCATTATTCATTATGAGCTGTTACCACCAGGCAGGACTATCGATTCTGAACTCTACTGCGAACAACTGATGAGATTAAAGCAAGAAGTTGAGAGAAAACGGCCGGAATCAATCAACAGAAGGGGTGTGGTTTTTCATCATGATAACGCTAGATCTCACACATCTTTAGGCACTCAGCAAAAATTAAGAGAGCTTGGCTGGGAGGTGTTAATGCATTCGCCGTATAGTCCTGATCTTGCACCTTCAGATTTCCGCCTGTTTCGGTATCTTCAGAATTCTTTAGGCAGCGTCAGGCTAACATCACGAGAGGACTGCAATTACTGGAAGTACCAATTGCTCATGAGACGCATAACATCTGCCCACAGCAATGATATTGACTGACGACAACAACCGCTCTGACAAACGTGATACAACAATGAAAAAGTTGTAGTTAAGGTATTTAACGGCCGTCTGGTGTAGTGGTAAGTGACATAGTCACTACACAAGGGGGTCGCGGGTTCGAATCACGCGAAGGGAAGATATTTGTATGATAAATATAAATGTGTTTTCCAGGGTTATGGATGTATATTAAATATATGTATGTGTATAATAAAAATCTTACATTTATTTCTGTTATCTGGTATCTGTAACACAAGTTCTTTACGAACTTATCACGGGACCAGTTAACGTGGCGTGATTGTTAGTAAATGTTTATATATTATATTTATTTATTAAATGTATGTTATGAAAGTTTCGGCTCTGATCCTAAATGGATTTTTAATTATCCGTAATAACTTTCAGTTCCATTTTTCGCGATAATACAGATATAATGTTCGATAGATTCCCAAACGTTGTTTACTCGGATATCTTTGACTGACTAGCTCGAGAAAAATATAGAAAATTTAGAAGTATCGTTGTATAAGCAGTGACGCAGGCGCCTAGCTCATTAACCATTAAGCCACGAACCAATAAATTTTATTAAAAACGAGAAAAATCAATTGTTTTCTTTGGAACAGTCTTAATATCCTACGCTAGTATATAGGGCCCTCTCAAGTTGTCGCCACTTCACGCTGTCTACCGCTTGCTCCTTAACATATTCATTCCATAAAATAAGAACTATATCTGCGAAACATTAATTCAATTTAAAATAAACAACTAACAGTTTTTTTTTAGTACATTTCGTTCAGTCGTCATCTATTGTCCAAATTCTTGTGTATGTTTATTATTATTATTATGTCATGTTTGCTCTCGGCTCGCTTTCTACAGCATCCGCGAGAAAGTTCACGACAGCTCTCTCAGCTATCTTGACTTACAGATTCGTTCATAGCACCATCCTATTATATAGTGGTATCGGACAGGTTGAATAAGAGAAATGCATAGTTGAAACAAGCCTTGATTTTTTTTTTTTTTTTTTATTGCCTTTGTAGGCAGACGGGCATACGGCCCACCTGATGGTGAGTGGTTACCGTCGCCCATGGACTTCAGCAATGCCAGGGGCAGAGCCAAGCCGCTGCCTACCGCTTAATACTCTCCATAAGCCTCGTTTGAAGAAGGACAATTGAATATAATTGAATTGATATATAATTGAATGAATTGAATATAATTTGTATTGTTTTGATTTTGTGTCGTATGACAAGTTTTTTTTTGCTGTATCTAAGGACAGTCGACCTTGGGGCATTTAGGGGCAATCTGATATTAAGTGTTTACCGGAACCCACAAACATCGCAACATGAATTCTGATACCCACAAGGGTTACGAAGTTGAAGTTTCAACTGTATTGCATAACGGCTTTCCCACCCTGCAAACAGAAATAGGTTGTGTTGGTGGTACAATATTACCTATCAGGACAGAATTTCTTTATGAAAATTAACGAACAAACATCACAATACTCGACTCGGCTAAAGGCAACTTCATTACTTGTGACGTCATTTGTAAGTAAGCAAGCAAGCGCGACAAGCTAACTTTAGTTAAATCATATCCAAATTTCCACTTATCATCTGCGTGACGATGGGTGCTAAATTGAATTTAAAATTATTAGATTTTTTTATATTATTACTAATTCTCAACACAATTAATTTCAATTAGCGATTGTTCTGATGGTTACTTTTAATGTATTATAATTGGCATTCCTTATAACTACTTTTATATTGCTCGGTTATTGATATCCTAATCTCTAAGCATGTCCTGTTGGAGGAATTAAATTGTTTTACTCTTGTTACGATATACACTGAACGCATTAGACTAAAATAAACTAATAGCAATAGGTCAGTCCCAGTGCATTACCAGAATTATTTTTTGCCACATACTATCGGAATTTTTAATGAACTCCGTCCTTGGGCGCAATGACATAACGAGCTTTGAGGAGAATCTATAATAGTCGGCAGCAGCTTGGCTATATGCCCCTGGCTTTGTTGATGTTTGATGAACGACGGTGACCACACACCACCAGGTGCCAGGTGCAGAAGGTTCTTCTTTCAAGTGGTAACTTCAAACGTTTGGCAAACACTTACTGGTGGTAGGACCTCTTGTGAGTCCGCACGGTTAGGTACCACCTATTTCTGTCGTGAAGCAGTAATGCGGTTCGGTTTGAAGGGTGGAGTAGCCATTGTAACTAGACCTCAGAACTTATATCTCAAGGTGTGGCGGCCTTTACTTTGTAGATGTGTCTATGGGCAACAGTAATCATTTAACACAAGGTGGGCTGTGAGTTCGACCACCAATCTAAGCAACAAAAAAAAACACTGAAAAGTACTTAGCTGCGAAAGTTCAAAACAAACCGGAACATTGTTCAAATATAGTTCATAACCTGAATTAATACTTATTATCGTGGTAAATGACATGACCCAAGCCACGTCGAGTATATTATTATCATAAAAAAAAGAAGACAGCGTGTTTACAACCAATCAATTTGTATTTTATGGACCAGAAAGTGGGGCATGCAACCATTTATATATTCCGGGAATATGCAACATGATTAATTCTTTCTGAATTATAAGTTTAAATCAGATGAAAGTTCAAGACACTTTTAGTAGATAAATAATAAATTCCAGAAAGAATTTCTTGAAATAATTAATCAAAAATAAGAGACAAAGGGCCAAATTCGAATAATAATATAAATTACGTAGTTAAAGTTAGTAGTTAAATTAATTAGATTGATTTGTTCTCGTGAAAATTACATTTAATTTGACACAATTTCAAATCGTTTGAATAATGATCGAAAGATCTTTTTTTTATATCTCTTGGAGAAATGTCAACGTTCATTGACCTGGATTTTGATTGTACGTATATAACAGTACAACATTTTTGGAGTCTCATTATTTCGCTAGTTTCTATCTTACTTTTTTTTTATTATAAACTAATTTTGTTCTTGCTTCAGTGTCAGTAACCTGAATGTTACTGTTGCATTTGTAGGGTTACCAACTTTAAAATAATGCCTCGATTTTCCCGTTTATCATTTAAACTGTTGCTTGTTGTCTTTCTACGACATGATCAGTGTTTTTTTTTCTTCATTTTCGACTATAATTTTCTTTATTAATTATAAAAAACAACCATTTAGTCTTCTCGGTCAAAAACATGGCCAATTCTTATGTATGGCAGCGAAACACGGGCGGCAACTCAAAGGAAAGTGCATACCATTTAAGTTGCTGAAATGAAGATGCTGAGGTGGATGTACGGTGTGACCAGGCTTGATAAAATCTGCAACGTGGGTGGAAGCCTCGGTGTGCCTGACATCGCCGATAAGATGCAGGAGAGTAGGCTGAGATGGTATGGTCACGTAAAAAAGAGGCCACCTGACTACGTCGGAAATTTTATACTAATGCTTGACCTCCCCGGTCGGAAACCTAGAGGTAGACAACACAAGGCGGAAAGATGTAGTGCTGAAGAAGAAAAGGAAATGCAATGTTGCTGACGAGGATGTCGAAGACAGAGCGAAGTGGAGGAGTACTACTATAAAGAGAGCTGAACCCACCACCGTGTGGAATAAATAGCTAAGAGAGAGAGAGAGAGAGAGAGAGGTCTATTTCATTTCTGCTGCGAAAAATTCATGCGTCCTCGTTTGAAGGGTGGGGCAGCCCTTGTTTCATTGAATTAAGACTTAAACCGCTTGTTTGAGGGTAGGTAGTGAGACCGACATGCTAGTAAAAAAAAGAATTTTTATTTTTAAAAGCCTCGACCAAATATTATCTCCTTACTATATAATTAACCGTAATATTTTCTCCTGCGTCGTAGGTACCAGAAAGACATATACGACAAAAACAAATATACCTAGAAACTCGATCAGTCACTTTGGTACAGTTATTTTGTTCGACTTAACGATCGACATCCTCAAAATGTTACTGCTTACTAGCGTTCGTTTCGTGGATTAAATGTAAGTCTAATGACGGTAACTCAGATCTCTTTCTTCTATATGTAAGTATTTTTTTCGGTTTCTTCTAGTTTGAGACATCCTAAATGTACAAATCTAATAATAATATATAGTCTAATGACATAATTTTGTCTATTACTTTTTTTATTTTTTATTGCTACTTGAGTGGACGAGCTCAACATACGATATATTAACACACATACACACACTAACACACACACACTAACACACACACACTCTCACACATACACACACGTACGTACTATATTCTTACAGATCGCTCTTCCTGGTTAACTTTCTTTACCTGGTGACCTAGCACTGAACCACTGACTTTTGTAACACAGGTTTTCCTAGCATAAAAGTCAGGGAATTTTGTTATTGTATACCTCATAAAAAAGCCATGTATATTATTATACTAGTGTTAAGAATTCTTGTACATGTTTGCATTTTAAGAGGCTTGAATAAATATTATTATTATTTATTATTATTTAAAAGTGCTTGTAAAGGCCTCCTTGAATAAAAAAACTTTTCAGTTGATTTCGTGATAACCAGCCCTAGAATAATCAGCCTGGTGTGACCATTGACAGTGCCTACAACGTAACTAACAACGTAACAGCTACGTTCGAATTCGTAAAGATATGCCGACAAACCGCTAAAGCATTTCACTTCATGAACGCACAAAAATTTTAAATTACACCTACGCTATTACGTGTACGCAGACAAAATGTCTAATGACTAGCAGTCTACTATCTAAATTTAGGCTTTAAGTTTAAAAGAAATATGTATATAGAAAAATGAATTGCTGTTCGTTAGTCTCGCTAAAACTCGAGAACGGCTGGACCTATTTGGCTAATTTTGGTCTTGAATTATTTGCGGAAGTCCAGAGAAGGTTTAAAAGGTAGATAAATATAAAAATGCTCGGAATTAAATAAAAATAACAGTTTTGTTTTTCCTTTATAGGTGTCCCCCGTCGGATGGATTCCTTTTGTTTGTTTTAAGTTTATTTTATACAAAAGTTTAGGTCTTTTATTTATCGATTGAGGCACTACGAAGTCTGCCGGGTCAGCTAGTAAAATATAAATTTACCTGATTATTTTTTTAAGTTCAGATGTCTTTTTAAGTTACTAAGTTCAAAGGAAATTCTCATAATAATTAAAGAGAAATCTGTATAAAATGATTCTATTAAATCGGGTCACGGCACGCGTTGTCTAATAAAGCAATTAAAAATGGTTTTGCATATGATCGTGCTAATAATAGATATTTCAAATATTCAATTCAATTCTACAAAAAATGATTAGGATATTTCCTATGCTTGATCTTGTTTCATACGCATCTGTAAATATAATTTAATAGAGAACCTTGTGTCGGCGTCATCAAAACACGAAATAAAATGGGTGATAAAAATAAACTGGGTCTGGAGTCCCATTATTGAGTATTCAAAAATCTTCATCTCATCTGTCTAACAAATAAAAGTCAGCCACTGACGACTTTACAACCACTTTATACAAGTAATGTTGACACCCAAAAGGATGATTCAATAATGTATTAATTTTTTATATTTAAGTTCAATTTTAATGTGTCTAGGTTTTATACAGTTGTGGAAACTGTGAAGCACAATTTCAAACCGACCGTCTCACCTATTACTAAACTGAAACAGCAATGTATTCCAATTGGAAGTATATTCGTTACATCGGTGGCTTTCATAGATCGAGTGGGCTGTGAGCTATAAGCAATAAAAAAGCCTTCAAACTGATTAAGACCTTATTAGCATCTTGAATTGGTATTTCATTATGCAGGACGCTAAATTTCCTATTTGTGTCATAATTTTTTGATAATAGAGATAAATTCCAAATACGTAAAATAAATCAAACACAATTTTATTTATGAAGAAAACAAGTTAGTATGTGTTAACAAATAAACCTCATAGTTAAATAAATACGAATTGACCTGCTGTTTTGAAAAACCTACCCTCATTGGAATCATACGACAATAGATACTTGAGTCGACTATTATCAAAGCCGGCAATCTGACTTTTGGACAATGATTGGTAAATCAGAAAAACGAATTATTGACTTTGTATTCCATTGGCAGTCACAAAACTCTTCGGAACGACATCTTAGATAAATAACAGGTTAACTATTAACCTTTATTTAATGCAGGTTTTGAACCGTATTCTTTGAAGGAGACGATTATATTCAAATNGGATACCAGCAGAGGTAAAAAAAAGAAAGGAAAAAAAAAGCGAATCTACATAAATAATTATGTTTGAATTTTTAAACTAAACATCCGATTGAGTTCAAACTCGTTTGATTGTCTTTATGTTTGGGTTCTTAATCCAAATATCCAATTGAGTTCAAACTTTGTATAGATATTGTCGGTGGTGCCTTTAACGAAGGCTTTGTAGTAGTAACATCAACGTGCGATAAGCAACGTGAAAGTGATGGTAATAAATATTAGTTCGCCATACTTTTTAGCTTTGCACAACGTAGTCAACTTAACTATTAAAAATAATATCAACACATCACCATCTATTATCATACGACAAAGTTTTTAAACTTTTTATATTGTTAGAGGCTTTAATGTACTATGGATATGCATATATGGTGCTGTCCATAATGTAACATTTCTTTAAATTTAATTGATCCAAACATTATTTATCAAGAATACAACAAAATGAAATACAAACATTAAACGAATAATAATAATAAGATAAAAAAGGTTTTTGATAAAAAAAAAGTATATCTGAGTTCTGCTAATCGACAATTGAACTTTTATTTGCTTATCACAAATAAAAACGGCGTCACGTTTCAAATTAAATTGATACTTATAAGCGAGGTTATTTAATAAAAACTTAATAAAATACTACTATACTACTTACAGATGTACCTACTTCACAAAATACAAATGTCTCCGTAATCGTATAATAATTTATAAATTGATACTATTGTTGATAAGACGTCGTACTCAAAACTTATTGACCACAGAATGTAAACAAAAATGCTGACAACGACATGTTTTACAGAACATCGACGAAGGAGAAACGGTTTTGACTTAACAAACGCAAGATTACAAACAAAATAAAAACAAGTGAGAAAATAAATAAAAATGTTCGACTTACATCGGTCAGATTAAATTACAAAAAAAAAAAAAGAACGCGCTGAGGCGAAAACAGTTCGTTCACTCGCGATAAACCTTCGCGGTTTGCACGTATACCAACACTGACACACAAAACACGACTGGCCACTGGCAAGTGGCATCCGACTCGAACATAACTTGTGCCGGAATAAAAAGCTAACTTTCTAAATTCAAAATTCGCGAACTCATCGAACCGACCAATAGGACAAGCAATAATGTACCTGCTGCGAATGATTATGATTCAATGATTGGGAATGGGAATTTTAATTAATTACAATTGCACCGAGCATAATCGAATGATGAATGAGAAAGGTCGTGACATCATTTTTAATTGTTTACGTTATAACAATGCAAAAAGTTAAATTTAATGATATTTATTTAAAAACGTCGCCGTTTTTCAGTTGCTACTGTTTTTTTTTTTAAATTGCAACCAATTATAAAATGTATTAAAATCATGTTTTAAGAGTGAAGCTTAGACCAGGGGATCTTACCTAATAATAGTACCTCTGGGTACTCATCAGTAAGTACGTGTGCACCCTCAACTCCATATACCTATACCATATACGTCAAAATAATTTTATTACCTCGTTCTCTTGCCTAACTGCCTCTAGTAATCCCAATAATTCCTATCTTGTGCGATAGTGACGTATTTTTTATTTTTTTATTGCATAGATGATTGGACGAGCTCACGGCCCACATGGTGTTAAGTGGTTACCGGAGCCCATAGACATTTTTACAACGTAAATACCGCCACCTACCTTGAGATATGAGTTCTAAGGTCTCAGTATAGTTACAACGGCTGCCCCATCCTTCAAGCCGAAACGCATTACTGCTCACGGCAGAAATAGGCAGGGCGGTGGTACCTACGCGTGCGGACTCAGAAGAAGTCCAGTCCCCCAGCAATTACGCAAATTATAATTTTGCGGGTTTGATTTTTATTACACGATGTTATTCCTTCACCGTGGAAGACGTAATTCTAGGCTCCATGAAAACAAACCCACAAAATTGCTCCACGCAGTTTGTAGAATGCAGCATACAATATTTCCCCATTCCTTACCAAAGCTATTAGTTTTTAAGATTACTGTTGGCTGAATTCCTGAAACTACGATCTTAACCCTTGTGCTTAGTGCGAGTTTTTTAACGTTCTCGATAGCGTAAAAGTTAAGCCAATTTTGTATGCAATTGCAACAGCGCCCCTTTTTTTTTTTGTCAGGAGGAAATCGCCGGACTTCCGCCCTCCCCTGGGGATGGAGGGCGGGGCATGTCGGAGTCGAACTGACTAAAACCTCCTGTCGCTCAACAACCCGCGTCCGAACCTCGCATGAGACAGAACCCATGAAAAGGCAAAGGGGGGAAAGTGAAGCGTTTAGTGCGGAGCACATCTCTCCCATCACCCTCCCCCTCGGGACGCCGGACCNGTATTCCATTGGCAGTCACAAAACTCTTCGGAACGACATCTTAGATAAATAACAGGTTAACTATTAACCTTTATTTAATGCAGGTTTTGAACCGTATTCTTTGAAGGAGACGATTATATTCAAATCAATCTGTATTGACATATCAATAATTTTTTTTGTCCAAATGCACAGATTGCCACCTTTGATAATAGACGACTCACTTATCATTTACGCCAATGTTAATTAATAATTGCTGTCGTACAATTTCTTTCACAGACTACTAGGGCTAGTGTTAGCAAATTCGTCGGGTTAGAGCCCCGTGAGTTTACCTACTCGCTCGCCAAAGCTGGCTTAACCACACGGGGATACCAGCAGAGATAAAAAAAAGAAAGGAAAAAAAAAGCGAATCTACATAAATAATTATGTTTGAATTTTTAAACTAAACATCCGATTGAGTTCAAACTCGTTTGATTGTCTTTATGTTTGGGTTCTTAATCCAAATATCCGATTGAGTTCAAACTTTGTATAGATATTGTCGGTGGTGCCTTTAACGAAGGCTTTGTAAACGTGAAAGTGATGTTAATAAATATTTGTTCGCCATACTTTTTAGCTTTGCACAACGTAGTCGACTTAACTATTAAAAATAATATCAACACATCACCATCTATTGTCATACGACATAGTTATATGCCATAGTATATATGGCACTGTCCCTAATGTAACATTTCTTTAAATTTAATTGATCCAAACATTATTTGTCAAGAACACAACAATGAACAAATGAAATACAAACTTAAATGAATAATAATAATAATAAGATAAAAAAGGTTTTTGATAAAAAAAAAGTATATCTGAGTTCTGCAGTCGACAATTCAACTTTTATTTGCTTATCACAAATAAAAACGGCGTCATGTTTCAAATTAAATTGATACTTATAAGCGAGGTTATTTAATAAAAACTTAATAAAATACTACTATACTACTTACAGATGTACCTACTTCACAAAATACAAATGTCTCCGTAATCGTATAATAATTTATAAATTGATACTATTGTTGATAAGACGTCGTACTCAAAACTTATTGACCACAGAATGTAAACAAAAATGCTGACAACGACATGTTTTACAGAACATCGACGAAGGAGAAACGGTTTTGACTTAACAAACGCAAGATTACAAACAAAATAAAAACAAGTGAGAAAATAAATAAAAATGTTCGACTTACATCGGTCAGATTAAATTACAAAAAAAAAAAAAGAACGCGCTGAGGCGAAAACAGTTCGTTCACTCGCGATAAACCTTCGCGGTTTGCACGTATACCAACACTGACACACAAAACACGACTGGCCACTGGCAAGTGGCATCCGACTCGAACATAACTTGTGCCGGAATAAAAAGCTAACTTTCTAAATTCAAAATTCGCGAACTCATCGAACCGACCAATAGGACAAGCAATAATGTACCTGCTGCGAATGATTATGATTCAATGATTGGGAATGGGAATTTTAATTAATTACAATTGCACCGAGCATAATCGAATGATGAATGAGAAAGGTCGTGACATCATTTTTAATTGTTTACGTTATAACAATGCAAAAAGTTAAATTTAATGATATTTATTTAAAAACGTCGCCGTTTTTCAGTTGCTACTGTTTTTTTTTTTAAATTGCAACCAATTATAAAATGTATTAAAATCATGTTTTAAGAGTGAAGCTTAGACCAGGGGATCTTACCTAATAATAGTACCTCTGGGTACTCATCAGTAAGTACGTGTGCACCCTCAACTCCATATACCTATACCATATACGTCAAAATAATTTTATTACCTCGTTCTCTTGCCTAACTGCCTCTAGTAATCCCAATAATTCCTATCTTGTGCGATAGTGACGTATTTTTTATTTTTTTATTGCATAGATGATTGGACGAGCTCACGGCCCACATGGTGTTAAGTGGTTACCGGAGCCCATAGACATTTTTACAACGTAAATACCGCCACCTACCTTGAGATATGAGTTCTAAGGTCTCAGTATAGTTACAACGGCTGCCCCATCCTTCAAGCCGAAACGCATTACTGCTCACGGCAGAAATAGGCAGGGCGGTGGTACCTACGCGTGCGGACTCAGAAGAAGTCCAGTCCCCCAGCAATTACGCAAATTATAATTTTGCGGGTTTGATTTTTATTACACGATGTTATTCCTTCACCGTGGAAGACGTAATTCTAGGCTCCATGAAAACAAACCCACAAAATTGCTCCACGCAGTTTGTAGAATGCAGCATACAATATTTCCCCATTCCTTACCAAAGCTATTAGTTTTTAAGATTACTGTTGGCTGAATTCCTGAAACTACGATCTTAACCCTTGTGCTTAGTGCGAGTTTTTTAACGTTCTCGATAGCGTAAAAGTTAAGCCAATTTTGTATGCAATTGCAACAGCGCCCCTTTTTTTTTTTGTCAGGAGGAAATCGCCGGACTTCCGCCCTCCCCTGGGGATGGAGGGCGGGGCATGTCGGAGTCGAACTGACTAAAACCTCCTGTCGCTCAACAACCCGCGTCCGAACCTCGCATGAGACAGAACCCATGAAAAGGCAAAGGGGGGAAAGTGAAGCGTTTAGTGCGGAGCACATCTCTCCCATCACCCTCCCCCTCGGGACGCCGGACCAGCGGTCGTCGGCGCCACGACCACCAGCCCTCTCGGTCGGCAGGCTATCCGGAGCCCGCCTAGATGGCACCAGTTAGAATGAGTTATTCTACGGAATACCCCGCTGGGTCAGAACCAGCGTGGGTCGAGGATAGCCGGCCTTCCATCACCCGGATGCTCTTGCGTAAAACGCGTGCAGAGCAACTTGCACGTCGTCTTCTTAGGCCCCTTTCGCCGGTCCCCAGACGGACACTATGAAGGGGACCCGAAACACTTAGAGGGCCAGGGCTTGGGCGAGATCCGCCTCCCTGGCCCCCGCTCGACGGCGGCGGGCTTGCGCGTCTCTCACGCGGCCCGCCGCCTCCTTCTGCGAGATGGTGCACTCGCAGAAGTCGAGCATCGCCTTCCACAACTCGTCGTCGCCGAGCATCGATGCCACAACACTCGGCAACGACAAGTCGTTTCCTATTTTTGCGACGAGGACACGGTGCCACCCCTCCCATGCGGGGCAGGCGACAAGCGTGTGCTCCGCCGTGTCCAAGTCGCAACCACAATGGTGGCACTCTGCCGTCGGCTCGGCTCCGATCCGGTGCAGGAACTCACCGAACAGCGCCCCTAGCGGCAAACGTACGCAAACGATCCCATGCCATACAAATGTGAGCTAACTTTTACGCTATCGAACGTTAAAAAATTCGCACTAAGCACACCTATCGATATGGGAGACCTTGCTACAATTTGTTTCGCAGGCTACCGAGGTTCATACTGAATGTGCGCACATCAACCTTCTTTTTTTTCTACCTATCCTGACAGCCTTGAGAGGATAGCCTGATAGAGAGATAGGGCAACGCTGTACTATTACACTATTACAGCGTACTACTTACTTACGCTGTACTAATACAGCGTTGCCCTACCATGTAGGTGAGCTTTCGGGGCTCAAAAAGGTGGTGTTGCTAACACTGGTCCTAGCAGCCCAGAGCAGTGCTTCGCAGAATTTATCAACGACGCGACCCACTGAGAAGATCTGGCGAGAAACTCAGTGGGCTCTGTCTATGGCTTAATTTACTCGCCGAGCCCTTCGTCGTAAGCGACGGACTTGGCGAGGATGGTGACCGGTGCTTGAGGTACCTAAAAGCACCGCTAATGGATCGGGAGGATCCGTAATGACGCGTTTAGGGCGAC